CTGATATTCGTTCTGAATCTACTTTGGGGTTCTCCCGGCAATAAACTTATTAAGTTCTACTGCACTGGGAGTATGAGCACGTTTTGCTAGAGTTTTACAGATGTTTTATGACACTAGTGCAAAATAATTATGAGCAGGAAAGTTTTGAAGTCTTAAATACAATTTTCATAATATTACTTGCTAGATGTTTTATTGCCTTACTAAAAGGAGTCTCTCATTCTCAAACAACGGTATGTAACTTCGTTTAAGACATCGTTTATTTTATTTTTATTTATTAACAATTACAATATTGCAGTTCTATGTTCAATTCTTAGTCTTCTAAGTCATTAATAAATAACAGAATAAAAAGCATATACTCCAGCCATTTCTTTATTGTATTGTTATAATATCCCTTCGACTTGTGACCTTTCATCGCTACCACACAACACCCGTGTTCTCTGAGTTGTTAACGGCATCAAATTGTATCCGTCGAACCGGCCTTGATAAAACAAGTCGGAACGACGAGTTGCATTTTGTACACATGGCAACCCGAAACTCGGCACGTAGGACGCTCATTGACATCAATGACGTCATAGGACGAACATTGTTGTCAAATACGCCAAATGTTGCCGCTTGTATCGGCTAGGCGAATACCCTTGACCCTGAATCGACCGCCACCACGATGAGTCCTCGAGAGGGGCAAATCTTCCACTTTAGGCGTAACCGCCAGCGATGCTTTTCCGACATTCTCATTGTCCATGTCTAATTTCCTCGGAAGTGGGAAAAAGGCGTGTACAATTAGTATAACGCCGAAAATCGGCGCGCTCTGATTGGAAAACCAAGACCAGAAGCTCCTTGAGTGGGAAATTATGGCAAGAGGCCTTCAAGGTGGGAACAAGGGAGCGAAAAGTCGCTGTCCGCATAAGGAATTTGAGTAAACGTCTCGCGTGGGCAGTCAAGGACTGTTTTGAAAGAAAGGTCAATAGAAAAGGGCTATCGACGGAAGGATCCGTCAGGTTAGCAGATAACTTTACGCACCCGTACAAATTGGTAAACTAGTAACCAAGTACTTGCGGATATCCACTGGCCAGAAAAAGATACATCAACCGTAGTATTCAATCGCCGACGGAAGGCCCACCACTCATATTTGTGTTTGCCGCATGTTTTTGCGGTTAACTTGATGTTATCACTTCTGCTACAGATTACAGCAGTTTTAAGCAGAATACAAAGTGGGAGAGGTATGAGCGCGCGAACATTTGTTTTGTAAACACTGGCCAACGAACTCGAAGAATGCTTCTATACCGAAAATTCGAATATACGATTATGATTCCGAAAAGTAATGACGACGAACCCTACAAGGCTATGCCCTATTGACGTCACGAGAAATA